CTTTATTCGAACGAATGAACGAATGCTTGCATTTCAAGACGAACAATACGCTAGGTTTGATAAGTTACATGAAAACCGCATGGACATAATTACAAGTTCAATTCATGTTCTCAATAAACGAGCAAAACTAATTTAAGAAATATCTACTCATTCAGGAGCCCATGACGATATTGAAAATTAGACTGGAGCACATGCACATGTATTTTTTGTACTACTCTAAATCATGTTATAAACAATTATTGCATGAGGTTTTTGTGATATCCGGAATAATCAAGGTCGAGGTAAGCCTTCGGCTTCGGCTGATAACACTAACCGAGACCTTGATTATGCCGGATATCACAAAAACCGAACCTAATAATTGTTTTAAAGAAAACAACGACAAACGCATTATCGCAGCGATCACTGTTTATTTTCAAACACTTAAAAATGTACAACTGAGTGATCACAGCGCAAATGATGCATTGCGCGCGCAACCTACAGATTATTCACTAATCTGTAGGTTGCTCTGTTCCCCAGAATTAACTGTAGGCTTTTAGCCAATGAGAAGACAGATGGTGACTACAATGTATAATAATCATATTTAACGGCGATCATTAACATTTTGCTATTGACACTTCAATGTGTTACTGAACAAGGCAATCGTTGTCTTTTCGTCAGTTCTCTTCAGTTAGTGAATCTTGCATGAAGTTTGAACATTCGTTTAATGGACAAGGCATGTCCCAATGCGAAGAAATCGTCAAGTTTTTTACCTTCCCAACCAATTCTCTTCCGTGGCCCGGCAATGAGGACATGTTTTCCTAAAAGCTGCAAAGGCGCGATTTCAACTCTTTTCGCCAATATTCCTATATAGGCGTCTTCTAAAGGAAAAGGTGTCAGGCCTTCATTTGAGGACACCTTAAGTAATTCGAGAAGAGTGCTTTTAGATAAAATATAAAAGGGCCCGTTACAGTATGGAGGGAACAAAGTGTCGTTCAGAAATTGTTCACTAACGAACCATTTATGCTTTGGATTTCTAATAACTTTTCCCCCGTTTATTACAGCCCCAGCATATAGCTTCTCGGGTAAAGAAGACGTTTTCAGCCACCAAATCATCATAGGAACGTGAATATATATGTTGTAGTTAATTTTTTATTTCAGTTAATTTTTGTTTTTCCTTTGTTTTAAATTTTTTAGCATACATTACCATACCCAAAAACAATGGAAAAATAAAAATTAACTGAAATAAAAAATTAACTACAACATATACGTCATCGTCCACTTTGACGATAAACTGAACGTCCATGACAGAAGCAAGCCACAAAGAGCTTATTGTCTTGAAGGCAAGTAGTGAATAGGATTCTGTGTAGTTCAGCCTTAAGATGTCCCCGTAAACGGCGCTTTCATTCCGCACGGCGGATTCAACGTCCACTTTTGTGTCATGTCCGCAAACAAACCAGTCGTGGATAACCAAGTTGCAAGATGAATTTGAAGAGTTTTTCATCAGTGTTCGTATGTTAGATCGTCCTCGCGCAACAGAGTTGCTGACAAAGAGAGACAACCATGTTTGACCTATAGATAGTCTTCTGCTTGTGTAAAACGGCGCGCTTGTAATGAAAATAACCCGGGGAGGGTACTCGCAGAAAAATTAGGTAGGGGTGTGCGGCCCGCTTCCCAAAACCCTTACCCTATTTATGACCAAAATCTGCGATTTTCCCTACCCTATTTATGACCTAACCAAAAATTGGATACCCTATTTATGACCTGACCCTTAAATCAATACCCTGTTTCAGACCTGCCTTATAATTATTTCCCTAGTTCAGACCATGTTAAAGGCAATGTTTATCTGCTTTTATTAGGTTAGGGGGACATGATAAGGAAATAGCTTCTTCTAAAAAAAGTGCATTCAAGACTACAGTGCAAAAATCGTTACCCTATTCATGACCAAAATGGCGGCAAAATAGCCAAAATCGATACCCAATTTATGACCAAAACGGCTGAAAAACCCTACCCTTTGGGGCCGCACATACCTATATAGCCCATATTAGGGAGTACCCCCCCGGGGAAAATAATTAACTGCTCATTCGCTTGGATGAGTTGGATTTGATTTCCTGTTGACAGATGGTTTTCTTTCGTTGAACGTTCCTGAAACAGCTTTGTAAAACATGAGGATGTGCCGGGAACGATTTCGTAAACGTATAGAGGAAGACTGCGGTAACAAACAAAGAAAATATCCCGACAAGTTTGATTACCCTGAAGCGCATCACGATGTTTACGTTAGCTCGACTAGACATGTACAATGACTAGATGTTTCAGGGGCAATAAGTTCTTAAGGTTGAGCCGATAACGCCTCGTCGATTGATATTGACAAACGGTCATTAAATTAGATACGTTAACTTCGGATTTGTCACATTAACAATTATACCACGAGTGTGCGTTGGATATGAGATGGTTAGGTAGCAATAGAGGCGCTTAGCGCCGAGTTGGCTATGATCATCTCATATCCAACAAGCGCGAGTGGAATAATTGTTTTATTAAAAACGCCCACAAAATATCGGTTGCTTTTACAAATAAAGTCAGGAAGTCCTATTTTTATTCACCTTAAAAACTTGCAGCCAAAGGGCCTCAGTCGACAAACGTTTTCAAACATGCATTGGTCTTAAGACGGTCTCTTAAGGTTTTGCGGCCTCCCTTTTCACTTGTTTACGTGTTATGGGCAAAGTTGGGGATCTTCCTTTTTATTGTTTACACGGCAAAAACTCAAGACTCCTCAAGTCCACATTCCAAAATTAAAACTGTAACAGCTTTGTAGAATATAAAGATGTGCCGGGAAAAAACGGAGGTAAACGTATAAAGGACGGCTGGGGTAACGAACAAAGACAAATGCGGACAAGTT